GAGGTCCACAGAACCATGTCAACTTCAAAACAATACAAACACATTTTTAAAATGGTTGCAGGATTGCTATTTTAAGTGGGATCTTCCCCCATAATGTCATAGTTCTAGGAATTATGAGCTTCATCTGTCTCAAAATGCAACAACTCCACACAATCTCATTGACTGAATGCCACCAAGCCAAACTGCTTCATTCTTACGATTACAATCTAGCAACTTTAGTGACTGGTAAGGGAGGTCCTCTCAGGAAAAGCCAAGCCCTTCAGCTCAAAATGGATGCCCAAAGAATCATGGATATGAAAGGCCCCATATATCTCAGCCACTATTTTATCACTGCTCCTAAGAAATGAAGAAGTGTGAGCGCCGTCTGGCTAATCCTAGCCCATGTCAAGCCTCAAAACTCAGGGAAATATGCAGTGTTTACTTCTGTTGCAACGTATTTTCAAAAATCTGTTTTCCCCTTTCTCTCTGTTGAACTAGAACATTCAAGCAAGCAACAGGATATTCAGTGCCTACAAGGGAAAAAAGAACGGCAATATATTCTTCAGTGAATTTATCTCTTTCAATTCTCTCAAAGGTAAAGGCTTCTGCACTTATAAACAGCCTCTCAGATTTGTCTGACGATGTTTCAACATCACTCTTTCTCATGCCTGGTAATGGGGATGAGAAACTGCTTCCGTGCTCAAATATGTTAAGAAATCAGGCAAGCAATGAGGTATTTCAGAAGCTGCATGGCCATTCTTGATAAGTTTGACAATAATATAAATACAAGAACCCTTGAAGAGACATAGAAACTGAAATGAACTCTGACAGACCTTTTCCTGAAAGGGCATTTTTTGCTATTCAGCAGTAACAATGAAAAAAAATCTAAGAAGCCATCAGTCAAAACAGGAAGAGGGTTTTTTTTAACCACCAACTACCTTCCCATACTCAAAAGCATAAAAAAGATCAGTGCTATCGATTAGAACCTGCAAACGAAGGACGAGGCTGCAAACATCCAAAGAGCATTGTCAACTTAACTCCACAACAACTAACTGTTAGGGGAGGCTATGACCATGCAACAGAGTGAACAAGATATTCTCAGAATAAACATTTATAGCTCCTAAGGATCACTTTCTGACATAATATTCATAACAGCTCCGATCCTCTGTCTGCTGTACGGAGTGCGTGTGAGGACAGCTTTGGTCTGCTCCCTTAAAAGGGACAGTAGTGGAAGGGGGGGGTGGATGTGTGTAAGGCAAGGGGAAAATAGGACTAGGATCACTACATATTCCGCAACTCAGCCAATGAGAGGCAGTGGCAGGTATGGATGGATTGGTCTATTTCCATCCCATTCATTTCTGCATATTTTTCATTCACTGTTCTGTTATGTCTTGTTTCCACATCCTTTTCTAAAAAATCGCACTTGTGCAGTATTTTGATTGTATTTTACATATTTTTGATCACATTTTAGGCCAGATTGTGAATCTAAGCAACCTTTTAAAGCACTGTTTGCAGCAGAATATAGATGTTTTACCCATCACCAGGCGGGCTGTGTGGCATGGCAATATGGGAGAGGGCCTTCTCTGTGGTGGTGCCCTGTCTTTGCATCCAAGTGCAACCTTTCAAGGGCACTTAAAGACAATACACCTTTGTCAAGGCTTTTAGTGGGGAATATGTAACTGCCTTATTTATGTTGCATATTTATATGTTTCATAACACATGTTTTTGTTTATATTGTTTATATTGCATTGTTTTTTATGGTTATTTTCAAGTGTAGCTCATCCTGGGAACCTTAGATGAAGGGCAGATTTATGCCTTGACAAATAAATAAAAAATGAAATGAAATAAACCCAGGCCTCCTTGATCCTAATGCAAGGCTCTAACTATTACACCACACTGATGTTGACTCTGCTGCCCTTTTGCTTTGACTCTTTGTTAGGAAGAGGATCAATTTAAGCTTCTCTTTATTTTTGGTCATGTTTTTAGGACTTAGTGGCCTTTGCATCCAATTCCCTGGAGCTTCCACCACATCCTTTGCACACAAAAAATCCAAATAAGTACAAGCAACTATGGAAAAAGTTGAAAATCCACATTAGGCCTATTAAATATTGAAGGCGAGGAGAGGGGAGGGGAGGGGAGCATTGCAATGTAGACCATCTCTACTTTCAATCTCTAAAGCTGGTTAACTCAAAGCAGCAGCAGCAATAACAGAAACTTTATTCCATATCCCTGTTAGTTCATGAAGTCACTTGGTAAGCGCATCTTTTAACCACAAAATGCTTGCTAATCTCAAAGAACAGGAAATGAAATAGCAGTATTCATATAAATTAGATGCAGTCAATAAATGAACAAAATGCTGGGTTATTAGTTTTTGGCACAAACCCCTTCACTTTGTGCCTTTAAAAGGAGTGGGGGAATGAGAGCAAGGGGTTCTCAAGGGATTCGCCATGGAACCCATTTTCCGTCCCTGTTCCCATGGTGCTGAAAACCTTTTGGCTCCATCATTTCAAGGCTTTATTCAGCCTCCCAAAAAGAATCAATGCTATTTCAGGGCTCGTCCACACTTCCACTTGTCCTGTGCCTAGAAGACACAGGTCCTAGAGCAGGCGTAGGCAAACTCCGGCTCCAGATGTTTGGGACTACAATTCCCATCATCCCTGACCACTGGTCCGGTTAGCTAGAGATGATGGGAATTGTAGTCCCAAACATCTGGGGGGCCAGAGTTTGCCTATGCCTGTCCTAGAGGTTTTCCACATGTCTGAGTTGTTTTGCCTTTGCCCCACCACTTTTCCCCAGAAAAACACGCTCTTTAGCACTAAATCACAGCAAATGTCAGTCTGGAGAAAACCCATAGATGTTTGCTCCTGTTCACCTGTGAGCAATGGGTTTTCCCAGGGGAGAGCAGCAGGGCAAGAAGTGTGAATGAGCCCTCATTTACTGTTCTAAGCTAAGGATTGACATAAGGATATTATTCTGCTACTGCAAAACCATCAGGGCTTCAAAATGTCCAGACATTTTGCATCTCTAGTCCTAGCACGGCCATTCACTCCCAAAAAGTTCCTATTAGACTCTACGTGGTTTTGGTTTTTGCAGGGAAGGGGGCTGCAACAAGAGGAAAACACAAAATATCCCAGCAATCTCCTTCCTAAATAAGACTTCAACACATCTTCAAGTTATATTTTTTCTGAAAAGTTTGTGGTACTTGCAGTGATGTGTTTAGTGTCACATATAGTTTAGCCCTAATATTATCCATTGCTCAGTTCCAACCAGTTGTTGCGTACACATTTAACTCCATTTCACATCCATTATGTACCTTCAACAGCATGCAGCTGAATACATTTGTACATTCAGCAATTTAGTTTCAGGTTTCCAGAGTTCAAACAATAAAACATTCATAGATTTGAGGGGAGGAATGCTTTGTGAAATCTATTTTCTTAGACTTTTCATGACCCCAAAGTTCACACCTCACTGAGGCTGCGTTTCAAGCAGTTACATCATACAGCAAGCACATATAAACCATTTCCAGGGCAATCTGCTCTGTGTAAAATGGCTCTCTGAGGTGTTGATTAGCATCCTGCAGCTTCTTTGAACAGCCTTTGCTTCTTGGCTCAGATTTTGGGGAGCATCTTGGGAGGTCAGCTGGCCCCATGCTTCAGGTGAAGTTGGTGCAAACTTGTTCAGCGAAATGTGTTCGCTGAAGGCTGGGTGTGTAGTCAGAGTCTCAAGGGCACGGAGTGAACTTGCAGGTTCAATCATTCAGCCAAAAAAGTAAATGTACAGCAACCTCCAAAACAACAACAATAAAAAAGATCCTCCAGGCACATGTTCCAAGGCTATGAACTTACTAGAGTCAACTTTCCAAAAGAGTGGGTTGTATCCAATAGGAATGTCAGAAAATTCTGACGGAACAGGTGTGGAAATTGTCAATGTTCGCTTACTCGTCCCAAGTCCAGAAGGGGAATCAATTCAGCAAATACAATTGGTATGTTGGGGTTTGTTGCCAGCATTTTTCATTCAATAAAACTGATCTACCACTTGACTGTAAGAAAAAACTTCAAAGCAGTTTGAGGTTTCTTTTTGTACCTTTCGGCGTGCAAAGAACACATAATTGATTGTGTCTCCCCACCTCCATACACATTTCCTTTTGCATTGAAATGAATGGAGTGGAATAGTGCAATAGCAATGTTATTATATAACTGACGTAATTACTTAGGTGAATTATGTAATTTCATCACAGCGGGCAATGGTACATATAACAGTTTTTGGAAGAAGTTGAACATCAGAGGAACAGAAACAGTGAACAGAGGGCACAAAGTGAGCACAGGGCAAAACGTGAAATGGTGCCTCCTTACATTCTAATATCCAACTACTATAACTTTTACTTAGAGAAGACCCACTGAAAATAATGGATTAGCCATATGCATTAATTTTAGTGGGTCTACTGTAGGGATGTGGGTGGCGCTGTGGGTTAAACCACAGAGCCTAGGACTTGCCGATCAGAAGGTCGGCGGTTCAAATCCCTGCAATGGGGTGAGCTCCCGTTGCTTGGTCCCTGCTCCTGCCAACCTAGCAGTTCGAAAGCACAAAGTGCAAGTAGATAAATAGGTACCGCTCCGGCGGGAAGGTAAATGGCGTTTCCGTGCGCTGCTCTGGTTCGCCAGAAGCAGCTTAGTCATGCTGGCCACATGGCCCGGAGGCTGTACGCTAGCTCCCTCAGCCAATAAAGCGAGATGAGCGCCGCAACCCCATAGTCGGCCACGACTGGACCTAATGGTCAGGGGTCCCTTTACCTTTTCTGTAGGTAGGGCCAACACGGCATACACTCCAATTAATTTTACTCATTCTTGTTTAGTCACATACAATGGCCCTACTGCATAGAAGCCAACATGCGAACAGCTCTATGCGTGTTGCCTTTAATAGTGCATATTTCTTCCTGGGGCGGGGCCAGTGGAGCACCCAAGGGTGGAGCTGGGTCAGCAACCTGGCACCACTCCTCAGTAGTTTAATGATTATCCCTTCATATGATTAGCACATGGGGGGTCTTGTTACAAAGAAGGAAAGGCACGCACTTCCACAATCCAACACGCACTTCCACAATTCAACGGCATCCAAAACAACAGGAACACAAGACAAGTGAGTTCTCTTTAAAAGTATCTTGAGATGTTTGCTCTTGCTTTTGTCCTCTGGAATCTTTCCAAATTCCTGTTAACAGACCATTCAGAATCAGCGGTGCATTTGCTCAGAGCCTGATCTTGATAAGGGATGCTATCATTCTTGTGTGAATACCAATTCGATTTAACGCTCTCGAAGCAGAATGTTATCAGAACCAGACCTGGCTTTTGCACCAGGAACGACACATGGGGCATACCTGTGACAACTGTGACTTGGGTTCAGAGCACCTCACAGGGTCACAAACACAAATTCTTCAGCAAGAAGGTATTAACAAAATCCTGCAATATTCAGCGGTATGTTACCCCAGTTTTATTGTTGGAATCTTTACATTCAACCTTTAAGGTAGGTCAGTATTATCATCTCCACATTCAGAAAAGCCAACAAGCCTTTTAAATGGAGATCCCAGTATGCATCTGTACAGGATACAAAATTGTTTTTTATATATGAAATTGTTTCAAATTGTTTTTCTATATGGAGTTGCTTTTACCTATGGAATTGTCTTTTAATTGTTTTTTCTTGCTGATTTTTTTCCAGTGTGATTGCTTTGGCATGTTTTACAGGATAAATAAGCAGATAAATAAAATATTGTGGATGAGAGACTGACAGATTTGCCTCTGTTGAGTTCATGGCACAGCAACCAGGAACTCCTAGATTTATAGCTCAGTCATTATGCTGCACTGGCTCTTAAGACAAATTAGCAGAACCAGGCACAGTACAAAATTATTTGAATGTATGTCCCCGGCTTAGGGACGTGGGTGGCGCTGTGGGTTAAACCACAGAGCCTAGGACTTGCCGATCAGAAGGTCAGCGGTTCGAATCCCCACGACGGAGTGAGCTCCCGTTGATCGGTCCCTGCTCCTGCCAACCTAGCAGTTCGAAAGCACATCAAAGTGCAAGTAGATAAATAGGTACCACTCTGGCGGCAAGGTAAACGGCGTTTCCGTGCGCTGCTCTGGTTCACCAGCAGCGGCTTAGTCATGCTGGCCACATGACCCGGAAGCTGTACACCGGCTCCCTCGGCCAATAAAGCAAGATGAGCACCGCAACGACTGGATCTAATGGTCAGGGGTCCCTTTACCTTTATGTCCCCGGCTTACGAATTTAGCCCCCCCCTTGCTCGCTCACTCTTTAGCTCCCTCCCTCCCCACCTCAGGTAGGTTCAGAGCTCCAATTGCAAGCTCTTTCCAACAACCCATATAATATAATGCATTTAAAGCATCCTTATACCACTTTAACACTCATTGCTTCTATTAAAGAATCATGGGAACCAGAGTTTGTTAAGGGTGCTGAGAGTCATTCAGAGAGCTCTTAAAGAGATACAGTTCCAAGCACCTAACAAACTACAGTTCCCAGTACTCATTGGCGGAAACCATGACTGTTAAAGTGGCATAAGAGTGATTCAAATGAAGCTGTGGGTGTGACCCACATCTCTGATTAATTTCTTTCGCACCTGGAAGGGTTTTTTTAGCCAAGCAGCCCAGTAGCATCTCTTTCATAACCATTCACAAGTGTCACAATCCAGTCCAGACATTTCCTGCTAATTTCCTTATCTATGATTGTCTCACCTCCTTTTGAATAAAGGTGAATTCAGGTGCTACTACAACTTACTACATAAATTGTATGGTTCCTATTAATTTTATATGTTGATTTTATAGTTATCACTTGTCTATCTGCCATTTTGAAGGCTCCACTTTGTGGAACAGGGAAGCCAAATATAAATATTGCAATCAATTGATAAACATGCATGTAAAAGAAGGAAGGGCAAGACTCAATGGCTACCAAAAGCATGAAAAGCTTAGAGAAAATGAGCTTGGTGGACATGAGACATCACTAATGAAAACATCAGCAGTTTCTAAGTATTTGAAACATACAGAAAACCTTTACAAGCTATCATTGAGATGTATATCACACATTATCCCAAGAACAGTAATGAAAATGGAAAGTGAATCCATTTCATTCAGAGATTGTGTGAAATGTGCAGAACTTAAACCAAGTCTGCACAGGATTAGGAGTATCCAAATGAAAAGTGAAGATTAATAGTAAGGTGCTTCAAACAGATTAGACGAATGAGCTATTCAACCAAGAAAACTCAATTAATGAAATGCAATAGACCTGGCCTAAATGGCACAGTGTTAGTAATGTTAGTAAGGATATCCTCTTGATTTCCCACACAGACCATTTGCCTTGTCTTCTTCTTCCTAAACTTACCACACTCCAATTTCTTGCTTCAGCTGCCTACCTGCCCCTAATCCCTACTCTCTTTGCTCCTTGCAAAAAGAAGAAGAATAGAAAATAGCAAAAACATGCACAATACAGAACTTAGATTTGAGTGGGCATACCCACAAACTTCCCAAAAGACATGAACCCATTTGGATTATCAAACTACCTGTGGAAGTTTGGTCATCTGTACCATCCTGCCAATGGAAAGGAGTATTTTTGCCACATATCTGATATGGACGTGTGGTAAAATGACTGCCTGAATAGGCTTCGAGTTTGGGTCTGTTGGTGCTGTGTTATTCTTCCAAACTGCCACTGTTCCTCTCGGCGAAGAAGCTTGTGTCTGTTTCAAAGCTAAATATGCTGTTTTATGACACATCTCATAAAGAGATCTCCAGTTGAGATACTGGAAAGCTGACAGCCTGTTGTTTAACCATTCCCTATACAACTCCAGACATTCTTATTCAGTTTTAATCAGTGATGTTAAAACGACCATGTCCCATGAGGTCTGTTCACTAAACAGCGTCTGTGTCTCTGGCTCCACGAAAAGCCCTGATGCCATTTTGTTTTCCTGATGTTTTATTCATTCATAATGAGCCTAATACGCACATTATGATTCTTGGAGTCATAGATGTTCTCGCACGAAATGGAAATAAAAAAATGCCTCTTTTAGAAGGTCTCCTTCCTACATTTAAGAGATCCCTGGGGAATTATGTTTACTCACACAAGACCCTGAATGAAAATAAAATTTAAACCAATTTGTGTACAACAAAACAACTAATTACTGAAAATTACAGGCTGGGGAAATAGGTGGTGACTTGTTATTGCAGAATAAACACATTCAATGCTACTTCAGCTCCTTTGGCCCCTGTTCAGACCATTTGCTCAGAAAGAAAAATTACAGGACTTGGGTACATGGGGAAAGTGAACAATTTCACATCTCTCCCCTCTCACTGAAGCAAATGGAAACTTAGCATTTGATTGCCGTAGGTTCCATTCTGGCCCAAGGCCCTCACAGCCAGCCTATCTCAGACTCTTGAAGAGCTTGGCAGGTTGTACATTTTCTGTGCTTTGTGTGTCCGATTAAAATTTCCCTTTCCCTTGAGTTAAAATGAGAATACCCCTAAACATTTTTTTTAGAATAAAGCACTGCTCTTGGGGGGATGGGGTTGTATTTCATCCACATGTCCCCTACATTGGAATTAGAAAACATTTAAAAACGTGCTGATTGCTTAAGCCTTTTGTAGTCAAAATCAAACCACTTTTTTTTAAAAAAATAAACAATAAAGAACTCCTATTCCCCAGTCCTCTCTCGACTATACTTACCTAAATCCCTCCCCTAATCAAAGATTGTGCTGATCAAGAGGTAGAAACTAAAATAAGATGCCAGAGTAATCATGGAGGGGGTAGGCAGCTGCTGCAGCAATTCTCATAAAAAGAAAGTTTGTCGAGACATCCTGGAACCATTCTGACACTGCTAATTGGTTAGTCTTCCAAGAGGAAGGCAATCAACTTTTTAAAAACAAAAAACAAAAAAAAATCAATCCGTTTTAATAGCTGGCAAGATCCTTGTTAATAAACTTTAGTAGAACACAGTGGCTGCGCTTTATCTCAAAAACTATAGCCCGCCATGAAAAAGGCATTTTTTTTGTGTCTCTTGTATCCATGTGAAAAAGAAAATGTTTTATCTGGCATCCTCAGTGACAACCTAACAGGAACATATTGCCTTGGCATGCCATTGTTCCCAGGCTCCTCCTTTCCCTTCTCTCCAGCCAGCAGGAACCTCATGTGATCAAAGAGCGCAATCCTTCTCCTGGAAGTCTAAGTTAGGAGCAGGACTGAGCAGCTGCCAAGAAAGTCATGTCTGGCCTTCCAAAAACCCTGCCAGGCTGGGGGAAGGGAGGGTTCCCCATCCCCTGCTTCCCTTTTTCTTTTTAACAAATAAAAAGCTTTCCACACATCTACATCTTTCCTAGTGGTATTTAGTTTGCATGTTTCAAGCGTAGGCTTTAGCACCTCTCAATAATGCACAATGCACCATGACTTTTATACACACCCAGATTCCAGGAGTCTGGAGTAAGTTGTTCTGAAGATGAGAAGGGAAGGGCTGGGGCAGAGGGCTGTGTGTGAGGATATCTAAGCCAAATCATGCGAACAAGAGGGATTTTTGCTGTTTATGTGGCAACCAAAATCTCAAATGAAAAACAAGGGACAGAGAATATTAGCTATATGAGGAAGCATCTGTAAATGAAGCAAGGCTGGCGAAGCACCCATTGCATCTGGCCATTTAATTCCATACTGCTCGGTATGGAATTCTTAATCTCAAAGAAACTTAACCCTTGTGAGGTGAAGCCGCTGAAGGCTGGTTCTTGAAAGCCTCATACAGCTGGCTCAGTTCTCAAACGAAAGGAACTTATGCCTCAGTGGCTGCCAACCTCCAGCTCTGAGGTTACCCAAGGGCCTGAACTTGCTCCAGCCACTAATTTGTTCACATGATCCAGTGATTTGAGAGCAATGAGAAAAATCAAAAGGCTGTTCATCTTGGGACCAAGTTAGTGTTAAAACACATTCATTTTAAATCCTCAGGGTTTCTCATTTTTGTAACCTGGAGTTCATACCTCTATAGGGAAACATGGGCTTTTTATGCATGTGTACAAGTGTTGCTGGTTGACTGTCACATCAAGCGATGGTTCTGTTTGTGCAAATGAGTCACTGCAGCTGGACTGCTACAGCCGGAACATTCGTATTACACACTACCAATGCAAACACGATGCTTTTCAACAGGGCCACGCATTCTGCTGAGAAACCTTTCATAAAAAGCCATTGAACAATGGGGAAACAAATGAGATACACAGACATGTTTCTAAGGCAATGAATTAGCCTCAAGGTGGGCCCTTGACCCATAATGTAATCAGGGCAAGGAAAAATGTATAGAGGTGAAAGCAGGATTGCAAAGAAAAGGTCCTGCCCCCAGTTCAGTATAAAGGCCTGCATGGAGCCCATGTAGATCCCATTCTGTGCATGTAGGGCTTTCTCTGTGCAATCAGGAACCCAGGAAAAGCAAGTTTCACAAAGACATAAAGTTCCTGCTAATGTACATTCCAGCAAACAACTGCCTTTCCCAATGTGTTGTTTTATTTGGACCAGGCTCCTCTGAATCACAGAGTTTCCATACACTCCCCCTTCCTTTGTATGGAGGGACTGAAGCCCATTACAACTGCTAACCAGCAGCATTTTTTTCTCTGTTTTGTTCCAGCAAACAAAGCAGTACAACTCCAGCTCCTTAACTGTGTTTCTCTCCCCCAAACATTGCACTTTACACAAAGGAAGGGAAGGGCTATTGTTTTGCTTGTTATTTTAGCACTGCTCCAAGAGCGACGGATTCCCCTGCTGCTTTGTCCCCATTTCCCCTCACGTTCTGTGTGCCCCACAGGATGTCACACACGATTCACCTACTTGAAAGTTTGAAGTGGAGTCTCCGTCTTATTCACAACAAGCCTCTTGCTGCCCTGCCAGATTTGCTAATTGTTGCCAGTATATTATATTAAGGGGGGAAAGAAATGAAAACTTCTTTATGGATGTGACTAAATTTTCCATAGTCAAATCTCAATTACACAGGTCAAACAGAATTGTCTTCTGAAAATATTAATTAGATGAAGGTGATGAAGATGCTTTCAAGCAATCAAAACAATTCACTTTGTAACTGTAATCCTCACCAGGCTTGAAAGGAAGGGAAGGGAATGGTTAAAATCTGGCCCTTCAAATGTTGCTGAACTGAACTCCAGCTCCCATCAGCCTCAGACAGAATGTCCCAATGTTCAGCAACATTTGGAGGGACACAGACACGATAAATTGATATTACTGTCCTTTCTATTGCAGATGGAGGCAGCATATCTGAAGCTGCAACAAAGTGGTTTGCCCTGAGGCCACCTACTGAATTCACAGCAGAGGCAAGATTCAAACCAGAGACTTCCTTATTTGTAGCCCAGTATCTTAGCAGACAAGCCACACCAGCTTTCATTGATTGTATGCTGCTGTTGTAAAGCAATATTTACTAACACGAAAAAAGTGAAGTGGTACGGACTACCTGGCCAAAAAAGCCATCCAATTTTTTACAGAGACAAAACGCTTTGCACCTCTGAATTTTCTTGCCTGCCGCCTCTATTGGGTCCTGTCAGAGGTATAAGGTTTTGTTATAAAAGTCTCATGATGGTACTTCATTGTAGTTCCATCTGCCTTGCTCATTTAGCCCTAGCCTCACCCATATCGTTGGACAGCCCCTTTCCTTAAAGAAACAGACAATTTAACTCTAATATACAGTGGTACCTTGGGTTACATATGCTTCAGGTTACAGACTCCGCTAACCCAGAAATAGTACCTCGGGTTAAGAACTTTGCTTCTGGATGAGAACAGAAATCGTGCTCCGGCGGCACAGCGGCAGCAGGAGGCCCCATTAGCTAAAGTGGTGCTTCAGGTTAAGAACAGTTTCAAGTTAAGAACGGACCTCCAGAACGAATGAAGTACTTAACCCAAGGTACCACTGTAATACATTTCAAGAAAGAATAAAACAGTGTGTGTGCTCTGCCTGACCCACCTATTATGTCAGGGAGCCAGCCCAGCAAAGACAAAGTGTGAAATGAACATTGTAAATCTTAATAGAAATACTCCCATGCTACAAGTGTGACTTAGACCAGAACTTTGTGCCTTTTGTTACCAGATGAGAACAGAATGTAGAACTAGACGGGCCTTTGGCTAATTCAGCTGGGCTTTTCTTTTGTACCTGCCTGTGCCAACTCACTTTCACCACTGGGTCCTAATTTACACAATCCCATATCCTCCAACATTTCTCCGATGAAAATAAGGACGTCCTAGGAAAATGTGGGACATTCCAGGGTCAAATCAGAAACTGGGACAGCTTCTGTAAATCTGGGACTGTCCCTGGAAAATAGGAGCACTTGGAGGGTCTGCAATCCTGAGGCTAATGTTGGTCCTCTTTTGCTCAACCCGCAGCAGTTCCTTTGTTAGCTGCAACAAATTTAGGCAACTTCATCTAGTGTCAAAATTGTACAATTATAGGTTAACATCAAATCTTGTTTAGCTAGTCATGACAAACGAAATGTGCAGAGAGCGACCCCAGGAGGGAGGAAGGAAAGAAACCAGCTAAAAGTTAGCAGCTCCTGTGAAAGACGTCTTTATCCCTTGTTTATTCAGGAACGTTTTCTCTCTCTCTTCATCTATTCCTACATGCCTGTCTCCTCACCTCTCTTTTAACAATACTCGATCTTTGCTAATTATTTTACAAACTGATCTGATCCCCACCCCCCAGACCAATGTGTGGACTGGAATGTGGTGATTTGCTGGTTTTCTCACTTCCCAAAAAATTGCAGTGCAGTTCTCAGGTCAGGAGGGAAAATAAGAAAATACATTTTTAACAGTGTCTTTTTTTGAGAGAGAAAATAGTTTTAGAAATGCTAAATTTTGAGAAAATAGTTTACAAGTACTTACTGAAATGCACGTTTTCATGCAGATGATTATCATTATTAATAAACGTGAAGATGGGACAGAATGGACCTATAGCTCACAGATGAAAACGATGTAGACTAGAGACAGACCAAGCCATCCATTCCTAACCTCTTGTTCTGGGAGTCAAAACATATTCTGAGCACATATCACATCTTTTACAAAAAGTAGGGATGAGAAACCTGCAGATAAAGCTGGACTACAGTTGGACTGTAGTTGGACTGTGACAGCCCCAGCCATCATAGTCAATAGTCAGGTATGGTGGCAATTGTAGTCCAACAACATCTGGAGGGCCCCAGGTTCACCATTCCTGATATAAAAACCCTCTTTGTGAACCATACTCTCACCTACAAGTCTAAGCATTCCCAGGATTCCTCCTTCAGGAACTGCATTGACTACAAACTGAGTTTTTTGTGTGTTTTTTTAAAAAAAGTCATTACATATATTTTTAGATATTTTTTTTAAATGCGATGGAGCATCTGGAGGAGAAGCTGGGCCTGGTGGTTTACAGATCACATCTTAGAAACCACTGGGGTAGGAAATACAGCCTCTGCTACAACAAAAATAGGCTGTATTTGGTATAAATGGGAGTCTTCAAAATAGGATAAGATTACAGGGACAGTTTCAACCTGACCCACGGAACTAGTGCTAGGAATCTTAATGCCAAGGTGGGTCCCAGTTGGGCTTCCTGTGGCCAAGTGCTCTAAAAATGACAGGTACTACTCAAACAATCGAGGAAGTCCTAGATTCCTGTCTCTTTCTTGATGCTGGGGATGTGGGTGGGGGGCAGATAGCAGGGAGGTGATAGAGGAAAGACTACTGCAGATTAGTGTTCTTACAGCCCTGTCTCTTGCACCCAGAAAAGTATTCCCATGTGCAGCTGAGCTTTTTATAGCATGGGCAAAAATATCTCAAGTGGGCCGTTCAAAACATATGTTGTAGAACGGCACATTACACATCGTTTAATGTCACAAGTCTATGGCTGACAAGCATTGGTCCAGGCTTCAAATTAACTGATTGTCTATGGCAAGTAGAAGAAGTTCCCTGCAGGTTAAGTAGGCTGATTTGTTTCAGATTCAGTGGAGTGCCCAGGTGTGGTGCCACAGAATCCTCTATTCAGTCTCACCTGGAAAGGGTGTTAGCCTTGCTTCGAAATCTACTGCACACTGACTGGGTGAAAAGTGAAAAACTCCTCCTAAAAAGGCACACAGATTGCACAAACAATGGAAGAAAGATTTCCTTGGATCCCATCCAAGTAGATTTTAAATTTCCATTTTGCAGCCCAAGGGAAGACAGTTGGGGAAAACCTGCCTCGTTCCAAGGCAGACCATTGATCCATCTAGCTCAGCACAAGCTACATTGATTGGTAATGGCTCTCCGGGATTTCAGACAGGATTCTTTCACAGCCCTACCTGGATTTGTAAAAAATAGTAATAATAATAATAATAATCCTATAATTGAACAGCAAGTAAAAGCATCAGGCTGCAATCCTATGCACACTTGCCTGGGAGTAAGTCCTACTGAACTCAATGAGGCTTATTTCTGAGTAGGTATATATAGGATTGCACTGCCAAGTTTACTGCAAACAGCATTTAGCCTTACAGAGATCTCTCATACCTTGCTTTCCTCTGCGTATCTCCTTACTAAAAGAAAATAGTGCCCTTTATTTCACTTGTCAGTATTATCCTTTGCCTCTCTCACTTGACCTTCTTTGTCAGGAATTCCCGCATCTCCTCTGTCTCCTCTAAGCAATGGTTATACATCCTATTGTTGAAAATATTGCAGTCTCTGGCTATAGCTATGCCGCTTACAATCGTCATCACCAATGGGGTTTAGAAGTTACACCACCGTAATTAAAGAAGACCCAAGCAACACTTGTCAGGATCTCCAGAGAGGAATAACCACAGCAATGGCAACCCAGCTAGGTACCCTTCCTTTCGTCTCTACAGCGTGTAGGTGAGAGATACAATCTGGGGAGGAGGCCCAAACACCACCAATACCAATTACTGCAAACCACAGGAGACTGCAGCTGCAATCTGGTTGGTTACTGTAGGAACATGATGCTGGACTAAATGAACTTTTGGCCTGATCCACCAGAGCTCTTCTTATGTTCTTAAAGAGCTGTCTGCCCTGCAAGCTTTTCATGGAAAGCTTTGTACAAATACCACAGCTTGAAAAGCAGATATGCTGAGAAGTGTTGCTTGGGTCTTCTTTAATTACTGTGGTGGGACTTCTAAAGCTCATTGGTGATGACGATGGTAAGTGGCATAGCTATAGCAATTCTCAAATGCAATAAAAATGCAAGCCAAATGCTACAAAGCCAAATGCTCAACCAATATTTTTTTTAATAATAATAATAAACACCTAAATGATAAATGAAAAGATCTAACCTCAGGACACAGTGCAGCAAAAGAGAGTCATAGCTAACTTCTGCTGAAATCATTGAGACTCATGAGATGTGCCAATTCCATTCACTGTGTGGCAGGCCAGGTCCTACCACAAAGCAAAGTGAAGAAGGTTCTAAAACTAATTTGGGGCATTTAGAGGCAATAGATAGGAAAATGATCCTTTCCAGCTGAAATCAACATGATTTAACTGCTTAACTTCCACTTAGCCATGTCCTTTGCTATCTTGAGTGGATTCTCCAGTTCGTAAGGAAGGCTATGCCATCTTACTTATGCTCTCTGCCTTCATCAATATGTCTGGGGAGCTGGTGCAGCTAAGTGGCTTAAATTGTAGTGGTGAGCCAGGAACTCCTTGGCTCCTTGAGATTGGAGAGACTGGAGAGATAATATATGTGCAGCGTTTCAAACTCTTATGTTCCAATGTGCTTTTCTATTCTCTCTAAAAAGACACAGTTTGCAGATCAGCATGTTCTTGCCTACTTCTGCCTTTCAGGCACATTGCTGGGCAGGGAAGTAGGAGGCAACAGGTAATCATCAATAAAATGAAGTGCTCTCAAGTTGTCACAGCATCACCCATAACATTTCAGCAGGAGATGGTTTTTGTTTTATGGTTGTCGCATTTTGCAACTTTCCCCAGACCACACCTGGCTAGGACGTGCCCTGGAACTCTGACAATGCCTCTCAGTTGTCTGGATGAAGAACACAGAGGGGTGTGAGAGGGTTTGTAGAAACTATCCTAATGAACAAAAGTAAAATTCATCTTTGTTGCTTTACCCGTGTTTGTCTCTGGCCCCAGTCACCACCAGCATGGGGCGCTCTGAAGGTTGCCCAGATGCAATACGGTCTTCAGACTGAAAAGGGATCCCTCTCCCCACACACCCCGGAATACGAGGTTCTCTCCCAACCCTACTTTATTTTCAAAACAGCCCTGTTAGGTAGATTAGGCTGAGAGGAAATGATATGGCCAAAGTCTTATGGAATGTTTTGCAATGAATTTTTACTCCTTAACACTCTCATTCCACTCATCTGAGTGGGTAATTGAGCTTACCTTGAAGCTGACACTCTAACCCAGCTTTCCCCCAACCTGCTGTCCTCTGGGTGTTTTGGACTAAAATTTTCATCAGCTATTTGGAGTTGTAGTCCAAAACATCTGCAGGACATGAGGTTGTGGGAGGCTGCACCAACCACTTTGCCTGAGATTTTCCACCTGTGGCCTATGGAACATTAGTGGCCCATGAGCCGCATTCCAGTATGCTGTAATACAGTATACAGTTTCTGACTCACACTTGCATGCTTGAAAGAGTTAGCCCGAGCTGAGGTTGCTACTGGGGGTGCAGCTTAGGCTCCCAGCAGCCTTTTGCTTCCTCCCTCCTTTTCTCTCAGTTTTTTCTCTTTGTGCTTCCTGGAGCAAGCAACAAGCTATGAGGCCATGGGCTCCCTGCAAGTGAACTGAATCTCTCTAAAAGGAGATCTTATACCCTGCATCTTTGCTAACCCAAAGATTGGGCTGTCCTTTCTTTTTAAAGTTGTTTGGAACAGTTTTTTTACTGCCAACAGATGGATTTGTTTGATGCAACTTCTGGAAACTCGGGTATATAAAACACTCACGTATTTGCAAAGCTAAGTGTCTGTGATTTATTCTAGTTTAAGTATTTTTGTGGAGAACATTGGCTTAAAGGTGGGTGGTGGTAGATGCAAATCTAGTCAAGTTTTAGTGGGCTTGGTGCAATCACCATTGTGCTTAGTTCTGCTACAGGAGAATAAGGAATCTCTTTTCCAAATCTCTTCCTCTGGTAGGTGATCCACATAAATGTTATGGAACTAAGATTATCTGTACTTGACCTTGCCCCTTATCTATTTATTGTTTCTGATGATATAAATCAAGGCCTAGGCCTGTGATTCCCATAATACAGTGCTGGTTTTGATGGTGATGCCAGCATTGAATGGGGAAACGTTGTTAAAATTTGAGTTACAGATGTGTTTTGATTTGTAAAACAAACATTCCCCATTCTGGGAAATGATATATAATGAATTGAAGAAAATGTTTAAACTCACCTTTGCAAAGAAACCAGAAGCTTTTCTACTACGTGTAATAGGAACAGTAATTTCCAAAGAACAGAAGCAATTATTTATATACACCACAACAACAGCCCAGATCCTGTTAGCCCCAAAATGGAAATAATAACAGTTATCAACAATAGAAGAATGGCAAATAAAACTTACGGACTATGCAGAAATGGCAAAACTGATGGCAAAACTCAGAGACTCTGACAATGAGAAGCTTAAAAAAGAATGGGGGAAATTTATTGTGTATGTGTACAGAAATACTGCAAACAAGTTGGTACACTGGCAGGTTTAGATTAAGCACTTGTTAGTAAGTAATTAGAGAATGTAAAGGTGTAACAAGTGGATAAAAATGATAACAAAATGCAGAGAATGGTGTAAGATGTAAAGAACCAGTAGAAGGGAGAGAAAGGAAGTATTGAGGTTTAAAGAACCTCAAAAAAAGTTTGTAAAATAGTAGGATTTTTTATTAGAAGTATAAATGTTAGATGGTGGTTTGATTTTTGTATCCTTATTTTATTATTTTTGCAAAAAAAAATTAAAAAAATTTACAAAAAAAAATGATTTGAAAATGATCAAAACATTTACAAAGTGGGCCACTGAGACCCTCAGGAATTCTCAAACAGTCTACAAGAAAAATAAGTTGAGGACCAGTGCACTACACTCCATGTTCACTTGTGCCTGTGTTCAAACCTTAACTAAAACAAACTATTAACACCAGAATACTAAGTGGAAAACAAAGGAGTGTGAAGACTGCTGTGTTAAAAAAAATCTCCTTTTGCTTCTAAGCCTAACCCTGAAATGCTAATTAGGACAACCAATCTGCCCTGTGCCATCTCATCTCCTAAATGAGATGCTATTTTCACACTTAGCAACACTGCTACAACTTCAAGCTATTGGTGGGGGGGTGTTAACAGTCTGTTCCGAAGTCCCCTGAAATCCCAGGCTTGAGCCTTCAGTGCCTTAAAGAGGCAGCCTGATCTTTATCGGCATTTAATCTATTTGCTGACATTTTGTTGCAATCTAAGTAAGACATACCTGTTAACATTTTAAGTGAAAGGAAAGCAAACCACAAAAAAAAATCCCAGGCCCAGGTGGAGTAGGTGTAGAAAAAGAAATAAAGGCCACCAAGGGCTCTTATATAAAATCAGAATTCTGATCCTCCTGAAACCACTCCAGAAATTAAATTGATTCCCACAAAATGTTAAGACAGCCACCAGTTTAAAGGGTTTTTTTAAAGAACCAAACTGGTAAGAAGTATGGCATTAGGCATTACAGCTAAGCAGGTGTCTTCCATATTCAAGTGTAATACACGAGGGGCGAGGAGCCTGTGGCCCTCCAGAAACTCCTGAACTACAGTTCCCATCAGCCCCGGCCAGCAGGGGCAGTAGTCACATTAACATTTACTTCACATACATTAACATGTACAGATCTATACAAATCTAAACTCATTTCTGAACACTCCTGCCATGGATGTATATAAGCCTTGCAGAATATACTTATATAAGTAAAAGGAGGGGGGGAATAATAAATGCAACAGTGTTTTTAACAGCATGAAAAGCTAGAGAGTGTTGTAAATAAAAATATGCCCTTTTCCCTTATGGGGTATCCAAGAGCCCATATAGAGTCCCTACATAGGTTCCCTATTGGTAGGAGAAAATAACAAAGGCCAACCAGAGAATATTGAGAAGCAAAGCAGCTAGTAAGCTTGATCTTTATTGATCGGTTGCAACAGGGTGCTCCCCTCACACGCGGGAAAAGAGGAGGACCCACAAAAATGCTGTGCAAGAGCTTATAAAGACTTTTGAAATTCCCATCCTGTAGATCAAGACCACCCAAAGAAACATCATGCATACATTACAGAAGGGGTGTAACCTAAGACCACCCCTCAGATACATCACTAAAACAGAACATTTGCATCTTGCTTTTCTCCTGTCGCTTGTTTATTTCCTGTCTGGCAAGTTACTTGATTGGATTGCCTTGGGAGCCTGGCCATTCTTTTGTAGTGGTAAAATACTTATTTCCTGGGCCAGGTCACAGGCTCACACCCTATTCATATCTTAAATGTGTCCTTAAGACAGGATTTGTGAGGAAAGAGACAATGGGGAGACTTTTCCAGTTTGACCTTGCAGAGAAAACATTTGGTCAGTTTAGGAATCAAAATGGTTCCAGGTTGGTCTTCCTGTCTTGATCTATTTATGTGCAGTTATGAACATTACCATATATCTAAGACCATAAAATTCCTATCACAAGAGTTAGAATGAAGTGGTTAGAAAGAGGTTGGTAAAAATCACAGACCTAAAGAGGCTGCAAAGGTTTAAAAACATATTTTTAGCCTATTCCTTTTTATGGCTCTCCATCCCACAGACGTTGTTTAATCTTGTGCTGCTAAAAACGGTGCCATATGGAATTCTTTTCAAGGAGTTTTTACTACAGCTTTTCCTCTCTTTTTTCACAGTGCTGTTAAAGTAGCAACACTTCTCAGTTACAGAGTGCTCTTTATGTTCAAAGCTGTTAATGGATATGGAACTGTAGGTTTCAGAACCAGAAGACAGCTATGATAACCTAGCTTGAATTTCAAGCATATAATAGGCTACATACTTTTTGACTAATGAATCACTTGCACTTTTATGACTTCCGCTGCATATCCTCTTTTTCTGTCAAAACAGCATTCCCTGACTCAGGGTTCCTAGATATAGTTTGACTACAACCCTCATAATCCTTGAACATTGGCCACACTGGCAGGGGATTATGGGAGGTATAGTACTATAACAACTGGGGACCCAGGGTTGGGAAAGGCTTGTTCAGGAACCACAGGTGGCAATTGATCAAACTGCTATAGGTCCCCAGTAGAGGAACGATGTGCTTATATAGTCAGACTTGCAGTTTCGGATACCATCATGAAGGAAATCTCCATTCCAATAGTCTCCCTGGAAGAGACTGTGCTAACGTGGAGACTTCTTCACAAACTAATGAAAATTAACATGGTGTTCCCCTGAAGCTACTGCTGCAAAGTGTGAACTGAGTTTCTCTGTGGACTGGTGAACTCCACCCATAAGAGATAAACTCCTTGCCACTACCCACAAGGGGGTGGAGGTGGGGAGATGGGGCACATAAAGAACTTCTAATCTTGCCACGGGTTGCTGATGTTTGTTATAACTAATTGAAGTGTAGGATGTTAATCAGTGATTCATTAGCTAGGCTCAATGTTTTACCCTCTGTACTACTACAAGGAAGATTCATGTCCTCATGGGATTAGAGAGCATGAGTCTTTTAATATCTTACTATAGTATCCACTTTGTGCAAAGCTCAAATTGAAATTACTGCTAGATTTAAGGACACCTGGGATGAACCAACTGGATGTTTAATTATTAACAGATATACAGATGGTGGTTTTAGCAAAAATGTGAATGGGCCTTTCAACTGTCCTTCTGGACAATAGCTACTCACGGTTTCTAATTAAGGCCCAAGAATGCACACCATCAAATATATTGGTGAGCATTTCACAGGGCTATTGAAAACAATGCATTCTGCCCTGTCAAAATGACACATGAATGAAATGCCTCCCGCCGTGAGGCTTATGTCCAATCTCCTACATTCCATGAAATGCAGCACAGGGAGATATTATCTACATGTTGCTCAGTCAAGATTTTCTCTCCCTTTCTGTTTCTGTATTTTAGAAATCTCACTGCATGTGCTGCTATTGTGATGCAGTGCACTTGTAAAATAACCAAACTCTGCTTAGGGCCTATATCCCCCGATGTACACAAAAATGGGGAAAATAGAAAAAAACCAAAAGTCTATGTTCTGAGCGTCTTTGCTTTCTTCCTTCAATTTTCACTTTTAGGTGCATTTTGCGATTAGCGATTCTCATGCTCCTAAAGCTGTTGTCCTTCCTAACCTCAGTTTTCAGAGCAAGGGATTGGTAGCACTGGATAGAGATAACAAATTCTGACAGGAACATGACATCTGCCACCCTGCCAGATTATGCAACCTTTGGATTACATAGAACCCATGGACTAGATGCAAAGGGTTGCGAAGGAATATATGGTTGATCCTTCCCAGATTTTTCTTATCAGCCTATTGCATTGAGAAACAAAAGCCAGCATGTCTGCAAGGAGGCATATGATGGTACTAAATCAGCCCGTAGGAGCCACATTGCTTACATGTTATGTATCATGGCAAGGGAGATAAATCACTTGAACCTCCATGAGTGCAACTGTGGAGGCAACAGCAGCCACATTGGTAAGAAGAAGAAGAAGAAGAAGAAGAAGAAGAAGAAGAAGAAGAAGAAGAAGAAGAGGAGGAGGAGGAGTTTGGATTTGATATCCCGCCTTTCACTCCCTTTAAGGAGTCTCAAAGCGGCTAACATTCTCCTTTCCCTTCCTCCCCCACAACAAACACTCTGTGAGGTGAGTGGGGCTGAGAGACTTCAAAGAAGTGTGACTAGCCCAAGGTCACCCAGCAGCTGCATGTGGAGGAGCAGGGAATCGAACCCAGTTCCCCAGATTATGAGACTACCGCTCTTAACGACTACACCACACTGGCTTATATACACTGGTACGTATATAAGGAATGTCCAGTAGGCAAGCATCAGAAGGCCCACAACCATAATCAGAAACTGATTGTACTCCTCAGACTGATTGCTCTTGCCCTGGTGTAATGGACAGGCATTGTTGAAACCAGATGACAATTTTTATGGGGAAGAATGAAAGGACCATCTAAATAGACATGTCTGTGGATTTATGATGCTCTAAAATGGGTTATTTGGAAGCATGTCTCTTTGTTCTCAGTTTCATCTAATATTTTCATATACTCATTTTTACAGCTCATTAGCTGCAAAATCTAACATAATGAAGCCCCAGTCTAACTAGAGTCTCTTGATGTCCTATTAAAATAATATGGTCATTAATACAATTCATAACTATTCATACAACCCAAAACAAGAACTAATGTTATAAATGACCCAATTGCTAAAGCGATGTTTTAATTAATATTTTTTCCAAGAATCTCATCATGCACAATTTCTTCTGCATGAGACAGTGTTGACCTGCGGGTCACTCATGTTTATGCCCCACAAACCAATTTGTACACATAGCAGCCAGCTATAAAGCATCACAGTTAAGCATCATCCCCAAAATAATAAATAGATGGAGGTTTGCCATATTTCATAGACAAAGCTACATAGCTTTTGTTTAGAAATAGTAAGTTTGCCGTCATTAAGATTCTGAACTTGGATATTAGAGTGAAACAATAGGACAGAATATAAATATCTAAGAGTTTGTGGATGCTGCTATCTTGTACCATTTCTGAAAATCCTTTGCCCCAACTTCTCAGATTAATCGACCATTTGGAGGATCACCCTCCAGAGAGCATATTGTGCTGAAAGGAAAGAGATTCAATGCCCAGCTCATTCAGTGATAGTATTAGGAATTGTGTAAGTGAGAGAGAAATCAAAATAGTTATCAGGTCACTTCTCCCACACAATAGCTTTCATAGAGAGTTGGTCCCACCTCACCCAATCCCTGTTCTGTAAGGATTTCAGCTTTATCCCCATAGTTCTCAGTCCCAGCTCATTTCTCCACATTTGCCTCATTATCCTCATATGGTATTAGGATTATTATAAACATTAATTTAACATTAACATTAATTTAGTTTGTAAATCGCCTACCATGGAAACACATCTAAGTGATCAACAATAAAAAAACCAACAATAAAAAACTACTTCAAATCCAACACTTAAAAGGCTTCTTGAAAAAGCATGGCATTTAAGTGGTGCATATGCTATTGGTGTACATGCACTCATGCACACAAGCACACACACATATATACACATACACACACAGCATCCTACAATTTAAGAAAAGGGAAATAAATTATTTTAAATAAGTAAAAAAGTAAGCACTGTTCACTTCATCCAAGTCTTCCATCTCCCACCTACGAGCTCAGATATATTTGCGACTCTGCCATTTACAAAATGGCAATCGAGTTACACCTACTAACATCATTAATGTAAATCTGTTCCTTTCAAAACGTACTGCCTTGTTATCTTCATCTGTACTTGTTGTTCTGATGCCCACTTTGAGTGCAATCTAATGCACCCACTTGTAAAGGTAATGTTAAAATAGGAATAAAAGTACTTTTTTTTGTTTTTCAGCCAATCACGTTCATTCATGATCATCCAATCATCCTTTAAGTAGTCCTTGTGATATCAAAAGGCTGACTATTCAATTGGCTATGGTCATGGTGAATGGGGCATTTGCTTTTTGTGGTCTGGAATTTGGCAGAATTTCCTTTTTCTTCTTTTTTTAGAACATCATACCCGTCCCTGGACAGCAAAGTCTGAAGGGATCAAAGGCTGACAATTCCTTCTAGAAAATGTTCAGACTTGAGCAGAGTCTTTCTGCAAGGATTCTTCACAGCATTGGGAGTGTGCGCTTGCTCTTTAAATTTGTCACACGGATGAAACAACCAACAGGACGTTCTAAGAATTCTACTTTTTCTTAAAATCTTTGAGAGAGACTAAGCCAGGGATGAGGAACCCATGACTCTTCAGAAGTTATTAGACCACATTTTCCCATCATCCCCTGAACAGTAGTCATGCTGGCTGTGGCTGATAGGAACTGGAATCCAACAATATCTGGAGGACCACAGGCTCCCCATTCCTAGGCTAAGGAAAAAGGACTCCAACAAACCAGTTCCAATTCACTGCACAGACCCTTTATTCTGCTCCAATTCAGAAGGGTTATCCTGTGGCAAGGGATGTTGCACTCCTGGTCCACTAAAGTTGACACCCCACACCAGCTCTGTTCCATCCCTGCCCTGAAGTGATTCTGCCTGGCTAAATTGTATCCTTGGAACTAGGATAATACCTCTTGCTTGCCTGGGTGGAGGAAGAACATGGGTGTCAGGGGAGCGGGCGAGAGGAAAAAAAACTTATTTTGCGATGGCTGGAATGTAGCATACTGGAAGCATCATACCTGCTGCTCTACCTACAGTGGTGCCTCGCAAGACGAAAATAATTCGTTCCGCGAGTCTTTTCGTCTTGCGATGTTTTTCGTCTTGCGAAGCACGGTCCGTCGCAACTGCGCCTCTTCAAGCGGCTTTTAAAAAAAAGCGCAAGACGTTTTCGTCTTGCGAAGCAAGCCCATAGGGAAATTCGTCTAGCGAAGCAACGCAAAACCGAAAAACCCTTTCATCTAGCGAGTTTTTCGTCTTGCGAGGCATTCGTCTTGCGGGGCACCACTGTACTTTTGTCTCCACCTACTTTCCCTTCTGGCCACACCCACCCCTGGCATGTGCCCCTTGGAAGGTTACTGTAATTAAGCAAAAACCATACCCTCCAACATTCCTCCGGTGAAAACAGAGACGCCCTGTTCCTTGAAAATAATTTTACTATTTATACCCCGCCCATCTGACTGGGTTGCCCCAGCCACTCTGGGCAGCTTCCAACATATATAAAAGACAAAATAAAACATTTAAAAATTTCCCTAAACAGGGCTTCCTTCAGATGGCTCATGGGTCAGATAACTCCATAACCTCCAACATTTCTCCAGTGAAAATAGGGACGTCTTAAGGAAAAGGACATTCTGGGATCAAATCAGAAACTGATCCAGCTTCTGTAAATCCAGGACTGTCCCTGGAAAACAGGGACACTTGGAGGGTCTGCAAAAGTATGTGTTACATATATGACCACATATTCTTTCCTTGCCTCCATTTTCCTCTTGTGAACTTGTACGATGGTAAGGACCTGTCAAACTTGTCCTTTACGATGTGCCATGTATATAGACTGTATTATATCAATTAATATGGGACGCAGGTGGCGCTGTGGTCTAAACCACTGAGTCTGCGCTTGCTGATCAGAAGGTCAGCGGTTCGAATCCCCGCGACAGGGTGAGCTCCCGTTGCTCGGTCCCAGCTTCTGCCAACCTAGCAGTTCGAAAGCACGTCAAAGTGCAAGTAGATAAATAGGTACCGCTCCGGCAGGAAGGTAAACGGCATTTCCGTGCGCTGCTCTGGTTCGCCAGTAGCGGCTTAGTCATGCTGACCACATGACCTGGAAGCTGTCTGCGGAGAAACGCCAGTTCCCTTGGCCTATAGAGCGAGATAAGCGCCACAACCCCAGAGTCGTCCACGACTGGACCTGATGGTCAGGGGTACCTTTACCTTTTTATATCAATTAATAATAATAGTAATGATGATGATAATGTGATTGAGGAATGCCTCTAGGCTGGGGTACCCTCAGGAAGCCCTGTGCTGCTGAAGCTCTACTGACAGACACTCAAGCTGTGCACACACCATACATTAAAACGCATTCCTATCTATATCTATACATATATCTATCTCTATCTATAGATATATCTCCTGGGAACTATAGTTTGTTAAGGGGGCTGCAAATTATACATCTGTGAGGACTCAACTACAGTTCCCATTATTCTTTGGGAGAACTCATGTGCTTTATATGTATGGTATGTACACAGCCTCAGAATGCCTTCCTTTGTGTAACCCATACATAGTTCCCTGCAACTGATATTGTCTCTATCTTTTTTCCTTTTTGCCATTTCATCCCTCCCACTCCATTCCTATCGCTCTAGTAAATGCCAGGGCAATGTGTACCGAAAGGAATAGGAAGTTTCTTATCACAATATTCTTGACTGATCCAAGCAATCACAAGAGGGTTTTACGGAAGGAAGCAGCTTGTCTATCTGTAATGGACTGAGTGATGGAGAGGCAGGGGACAACAAAATTCATCCTTGAGCCCTGGAATCTCCTCTTCCTAGTAGGAACCCAAAGTAGGAGCCGCACTCTTCTCACTATTTTTCAGGCCAATGAGCGATAAGTATTTTTGTCACACTGTTTGAACTGGTGACATTTGTGAATGCATATAGATAAAAGATAAAACTAAGCTCATATGTGAAATGCTTGTCCAATCTGCAATCCTTTTAGGGTCATTATTAAAAATAAATAAATAAGAAATTCGTAGTGAAGCTAACCACAATATGGCTGAAAGGCTTGTATACATTTATTTATACACAATATAAAACCTGGCACCTACTCAGACTGAAATTTGTGGTAACTGAGAAAATCTAAAATATTATTGCAATAAACCCTTCTTTCTGTAATAGGCCAAATTGCCATAAAGAGACACATTCCAAGTTGTCCACTTTCTTTTCTTGTTCTACATTCTGCATGGTAAATCCTCCCCATATTCATCTAAAGAGATTAACAATATTGTTCAGAGTGCTAGACCTAACTTTCTTTCTCCATAAACCACCACAAGAGCAGCAATCCAGCTTTATTATAATGTCCATTGAATCCTCTATCATCTTTCCCACTGTATCCTAGAATGTGTCCCTTTGGAGCAAACATTAAAAGCCAGGAATGTGATCCAGCCAAAATTGAGCAATTTAATTTAAAATGAGGGGATCCTTTAAAAACACATTGCCTACTTCTCCACCTGAGCTCAATGGGACTAACTAGTGCTCACGGTAGACTGGACTGTACCACAAATGGTCTTGAAGCATTGTGGGAAAGGGCCATACAGTGTAAAGGTGCAGAGTTTTAAAAGCACTGTCCTCGTGGGATAAGTAACATTAAGGCTGCAGTTCTGTACCCATCCACCTTGGAATAAATTGAACTGATATTTAAACAGATTAGGCATCTCTCATGATGAGCCCAAACCAGAAAAGAAACTTAGATCTTTATTCATGAAAGGTTGCAACAAAAGAACCTTGATGAGCTCATTTCCCTTCAGCAGCAGGAGGCTGAAAAATGGTTTGTTTGGCTCAAAATAGAGTTTTTAATTATTCAGTAATGTTATCAATTTACATTTAGTTAAATAAGGACCCAAAAAATAAAAAGTG